GCTAAAGGCTGAATCTTCTTGACTATCATATTTCCAGCTGCAATGTCTACCCCAGATTCCTTGTAAGTCAGGCCCCTAAAGAATTAAAAAACAAAAGAAAGGAAACAACTAAAACATCACCCCAATGCCAGGGAAGTTTATTTTAATCTTAAAATACTATTTAAAGGGCCGGCCCGGTGGCGCACTGCTACAGTGCGCCGCTTGGGAAGCGCAGCGGCGCTCCCGCCGAGGGTTCGGATCCCACATACAGACCGGCCACTCACTGGCTGAGCGAGGAGCGGGGGCAACACCGAGGGTTGCGATCCCGTTGCCGGTCCCGGTCCGGTACGGGCGCGACACTGAGGGTTGCAATCCGTTGCCGGACACGAAAAAAGACAAAAAAAAAAAGTACTATTTAAAGCAGAAGCTATCTCAAGTGATTTTCACATTACCTAATGTGATCTAAAAAAAATTTTTTTTTTTTTTCCTTTTTTTTGGTCTTTCTTCGTGACCGGCAACGGATCGCAACCCTCAGTGTCGCGCCCGTACCGGACCGGGACCGGCAACGGGATCGCAACCCTCGGTGTTGCCCCCGCTCCTCGCTCAGCCAGTGAGTGGCCGGTCTGTATGTGGGATCCGAACCCTCGGCGGGAGCGCCGCTGCGCTTCCCAAGCGGCGCACTGTAGCAGTGCGCCACCGGGCCGGCCCTTTAAATAGTATTTTAAGATTAAAATAAACTTCCCTGGCATTGGGGTGATGTTTTAGTTGTTTCCTTGCTTTTGTTTTTTAATTCTTTAGGGGCCTGACTTACAAGGAATCTGGGGTAGACATTGCAGCTGGAAATATGCTAGTCAAGAAGATTCAGCCTTTAGCAAAAGCCACCTCCAGACCAGGTAAGTGAGATCCTATACTTTGCTAATTCATTAAATTTGACAGACATTGTGAATTGATTTGGGCTTTATATTTCACTGAGCAAATTTTTCCAAATTAATGCCAGGTTCTATAAGTCTTGCCCTACTTAAAGCAAACCCATAGTCTTCTGCTTTCTTGTCTGTAATATTAAGGATAGCATTTCTTATCTGTGATGTTAAACTTAAAAAGATATATGATTATGTGTTCCTTTAATATTTAATTATTTTCTTGATCAATTCTTTGAGCACATGTTGCTATCTTCTATTCTTAAGAAAGGCATCTCTTATTTTAGCCATTCTAATGAAGAAGTGGTATGTATATCATGTTTAACTAATCTGTTATAATGCAGCAGGTGATTAACTTTCTTCTTCAACAGGCTGTGAAGTTGACCTTGGAGGTTTTGCTGGTCTTTTTGATTTGAAAGCAGCTGGTTTCAAAGATCCTCTCCTGGCCTCTGGAACAGATGGCGTTGGAACTAAACTGAAGGTAATCAGATACCTTTGTGAATAAAGGCCTTTTTTGATGGATAAGAGGGAATTTACTGTATATCAAATACATATTTTTTCTCTCCTGACATAAATGAGCTAAAAAGAACCATATCAAATAACCATATAATGTGCTTAACATATCTGCACATTTCTAACAACAAAATATTATTGAGGCTTTATTTGGATGAGAGAGTATTTTAGGAGATAAAAAGGGATAGTTTTGGACCAAGTGGCTTATCAGAAATTAGTGTTCTTTTGTCTTTAAGTGTTAAGAGCAGCTATCCAAAGTCAGTGGCGTTTGTTAGCCTCCGTTGATAAACTGACAATTTGGAGCTTATTCTCCAATGTAGATGTTTATATTGTTCTTCTGTAGATTGCGCAGCTATGCAATAAACATGATACCATTGGTCAAGATTTGGTTGCAATGTGTGTAAATGATATTCTGGCACAAGGAGCAGAGCCACTCTTCTTCCTCGATTACTTTTCCTGCGGAAAACTTGACCTTAGTACAACTGAAGCTGTTGTTGCTGGAATCGCTAAAGCTTGTGGAAAGGCTGGATGTGCTCTCCTTGGTATGATCATCCATTTTAATCACGTGTCCTTATTCTTACTGTATTTTAGCCCTATGTGTAAAAATGGTGCCAATATAGCTAGCAAGAGAAACTGTATATCCACAAGATGTGGCAAATAAGATACTATACATCATCTAGAAAATGGAGTGATTATAAAGATAAAGTATGTGAAAGTATTTCTGAAACTAAACTGGCATGGAAATGATGTTATATTCAACTGGGCATTCATCCCATGAAAGTTGTAATGTTTGAAAGCTACATGCATACTTGTTATTACCTTATCTCACCCTTTGTAGAGATTAGTGCTGTTTCCCCTGAAATCATGCTTGGTTGAAAGTTCTGCTAGGCAGCTAATAGAGTATGTTTTATTGACTGTTTGCAGGTTATAGCCACATGTTTAATTGTTCGTGTTAAGAATAGCTAGTGTTGGGCCGGCCCAGTGGCGTACTCGGTAGAGTGCGGCGCTTGGGAGCGCGACGGCGCTCCCGCCGAGGGTTCGGATCCCATATAGAGACCGATCCGCTTACTGGTTGAGCATGGTGTGGGCACGACACTGAGGGTTGCGATCCTGTTACCGGTCACGAAAAAAGACAAAAAGGAAAAAAAAAAAAAAAAAAAAGAATAGCTAGTGTTACTGTTACCTAGGCAGATTTTTAAATATTATGTGATTTCTTTGCTCTTGTCTTATCCTGCCAGGAGGTGAAACAGCAGAAATGCCTGACATGTATCCTCCTGGAGAGTACGACCTCGCTGGTTTTGCTGTCGGTGCCATGGAACGGGATCAGAAACTCCCTCACCTGGAAAGAATCACTGAAGGGGATATTGTTATTGGAATAGCTTCATCTGGTCTTCACAGCAATGGATTTAGCCTTGTGAGGAAAATTGTAGCAAAATCTTCCCTCCGTTACTCCTCTCCAGCACCTGATGGTTGTGGTGACCAGACTTTAGGTAAACTCATTCACGTTTAAACTGTCCTGCCTGAAAATGTCTGAGTAACCACTTTGTGGGTTTAGTCTCTCATTACTTAAAGCTAGATTTGAATGTATTACATTATCCTGTGGTTTGGCTGCTTGGATATTATTGTACAACTGGTTTGTCTGTACAAGGTCGAACTCATTCTCCATTTCAGAGTTGTTTTATGTTTTCGTTTTAAATTCATAGGCTCAGTTTTTGTCTTATCCCTCCAATAAACAGGGGATTTACTTCTGACTCCAACCAGAATCTACAGCCATTCACTGTTACCTATCCTACGTTCAGGACATGTCAAAGCATTTGCCCATATTACTGGTGGAGGATTGCTAGAAAACATCCCCAGAGTCCTCCCTCAAAAATTTGGAGTGGATTTAGGTAAGATAATTAAATGGAACTTTTGTTTAGAAAACTCTTAAGGAATAAAAACGCATGTGGGAGAAAACTCTGTGGGTAGTTAGTGCACACATTATTATACATGGAGAATTCTTGATCATTGGGGTTTCTTGGGAGAAAAATAGGCTGATTCTTTTCTTCCTCTTTCTGCCTTATTATCCATATTTATAAGGCGTAAAATCCTTTCATGTAATTGGTTTGTGTAAAGATGAAATGCTATAAGCAGATCCTCCAAGGGGATTGGTAACCTCAAGCTTTATCAAGATGGAACCCTACATGCCAGGATGGGAAATGGTAGCTACTACATAGTCCACACAGGAAATAAAAGGACCTGAATCAAGGCATAGAGAAGGAAGACAAATTTGAGAATCATTTTACCCATAGAAGGAAAAAGTCCCAGGTTTCTAGTTAAGCAGGGGAGTAGATGATAACGTCAGTAATGCATGAGTAAGAGAAGGTTTGGAGTAGGAAATGGGAATACAGTTTTTTAATCTTCAGTATGTTTATTTCAAGTTGTCTGTGAGCAGAAGTTGTCAAGCTGAAGATAAGTTGGGTGATTATATGCACGTAATAATTGTTATAGCCGAGAGAGTGGAAGGGACCAAATATTGTTCCTCAAAGGTAGAATTACTGAAAAGAACAGTCAGAAGGTGGGTAAACCATGTAAAAGTATCATCATCAAACCCAAGGAAGAATTTTAACATGACATTGGTCAGCAGTGTCAGGTGCAACACAGAGATCTAGGATGAGGACCCAAAGGAGGCCAGTTAGGTCCAAAAGCAGCCTACTGGAGGTAGATACCACCCACCAGATTATCGTGGGGGGAATGGGTGGCAGAAATGTAGACACAGTGGGTGGAGATTACTGTTTCAAGAAACTTACTGGTTAAAAGGAAAGGGAAATGATTACTTATGTACTCGCCATAGTGTGGGACAGGGTTTTCCCTCCCTGTTTTTATAGAATAAAGAGACAAAGTTCAACTATTCTAGCTGTCATAGTCAACTAATGTACATTGTTTCGAAGGAATAAAAACTGAGGAAGTTCACATAAAATAACTTCCAGAGAAGAATTAAGGGCCTAGTGAGATAAGCAGACTTGGTGTTGGAGTTTGAAGAGAGAAAAAAATAATAAAGCAGTCAAGATCAGAAACAAGAATAAGACCCAAATGAGGTTGAAGCTGGTTGTGTAGTTTTCCTCTCAAAATAAGAGTGTGTATAGCCTATAAGTCAGAACAGGAAAAAACAGACTGATTGTGTTGATCAGTTGGGCTGGGCAGGAACAGGGGTCATTCATGGGAGAGAAGCCATTGTGGATAGAGGTGAATAAGCTAGGATAGAATCCAAAGAGTCAGAAGTAGGTTGTGTAGAAGTGAGGAAATATGCAAGGTAGGGAGGAGCATGATCGAATGGGAACAGACAAGCTGGGTTTGGATTGAGTGGGAATCCCCTCCAGATCCATGGAATGAGCATAGTAAAGAGTTAAAGGGTTCATAGGAGGGTTAAATTAGTGGTTTAAGGCATTCCTTGGATAGAAGTGCTTTCCAGTGAGCATAAACAAAAACCTTAAGAAGTATTTCATGGGCTGGCCCGGTGGCACACTCGGTAGAGTGCGGCGCTCCCGCCGAGGGTTCGGATCCCATATAGAGACCGGTCCGCTCACTGGTTGAGCGTGGTGCGGGCGCAACACCAAGGGTTGCAATCCCGTTGCCGGTCGCGGTATTGGCGCGACACCGAGGGTTGCGATCCCGTTACCGGTCACAAAAAAAGACAAAAAGGAAAAAAAAAAGAAGTATTTTCTTTATTGTTCTCTTCAAATAGTGAAAAACAGTAGCATGCTGATGAATGGAGAAGGGAGGCAGAACTAATTTGTACATTTGCCAATTTCTGTGATTTAAATACTCCCACCATAGCCAATTGAAAAATGTCTGTGTTTAACAGCATCTACGACCTGGCTCTAGCATACCACTGGTTAAAAATAATGTTATGCTCACCTCATTAGGAAATTGAAAACTGATATAGCCATATTCCTGAAAACCATTATGTTTCGAGTTATACATGTCTGTATTCCAATAAAAACCCCTTGAATCAGCCTCTAAGGTTTCTTCCAGGAAACATACTTTGACAACAATAGATTTAAGTCAGAAATTTTTGACATTAAAATTACGACTTGTCGGGCCGGCCTGGTGGCGCACTGCTACAGTGCGCCGCTTGGGAGCGCGGTGGCGCTCCCGCCGAGGGTTCAGATCCCACATACAGACCGGTTCCCGCTCACTGGCTGAGCGAGGTGCGGGCGCAGCACCGAGGGTTGCGATCCCGTTGCCGGTCCCGGTCCGGTGCGGGTGCGACACTGAGGGTTGCGATCCATTGCTGGACACGAAAAAAGACAAAAAAAGGAAAAAAAAAAAAATTACGACTTGTATTATTCATAAGTATGTGTTCATTTGTAGAAACTACACTTTTAGCCTGTCAGTCTTGTTTCTACAAATGAATACTTTGTAAAACTTGTGGATAAAATGAGATTGTAGTTTGGTAATCTGGTATTTTTCCTGCCATTTAATATATCATCAACATCTACTTGTCGTAACATTTTTGATGAAGATTATTCCGTTTTATGGATGTACTCCTATTTGATTTGAAGTTGCTGTTGACTTGACTATTGAGAGCATAGTGAACATGGTAGTCACTAAATCTCTTGAGCTCGGCTTTTAAGAATGGATGTTTCCTAGCTAGTATAAAGGAAATTAATTCTAATACAGGAGAAGATTCATAGACATGTGATACATTTTAAAAATTGTATCAATTCCAGAGCATGAAACAACTGATTATACTTAAATATACCAAATAAACAGGGGGAACCAATAATCAACCTTCTTTTTCTTTTTTTTTTTTTTAAATTCTGTACAGATTCAAAAGAGAATCCTTATTATTTAACAAAAAGCTAAGTGGCTTCCCTTTTTTGGGAGCTTCATAAATAATTCAATATAGGTTTTGGAAATTAGATCGCATAACTGTAGACTGCAAAGAACTATCCAAATTATTTTATTATTGAGGAATTTTCTGCATGTGTATATAGACCTTTACCTAAACATTTTTATTGGAGATTTTGGTTGTATTAATACATATTATTAAAATGTATTAATAATACATATTCTTGTATAGACCTAAGAATTCTAAATTTTACTTTTCTTTAATTTTTATTTATTTTTTTATTTATTTTTTTTTTTGGCGGCTGATTGGTACAGGGATTTGAAGCTATTACCTTGGTGTCATAAGGCTGTGTTCTTACCAACTGAGTTAGCCAGTCAGCCCTAAGTATAAATTTTAAAATAAATGAGATGGACAATGTGTTGATCTTAAACCTTCTATGTAGCATGACTTGAATGGTATATCCGTTTTTTCTAAATCTGTATATAACCCACCTAGTTTTGCATCCTATTTAGAATTATTTTGCTCATCACTAAGACTCAGCTAAACAGTCAAAAAAGAATGGTATGCCAGCCTTTACTGGAATTCAACTACTAGCACATGTAATCCATGAGGGATTTTCTAAGGATCTATTTAGTTAATGCAACACAAAACTTCACTCAATTGTGAATACTGGCAAGTGTGTAAACAAAAAATGTTCTTAATGTCTTACATACACATGTATCCTAAAAAAAAAACTTCTGAAAAGTCAGTTTGTACTTTTACCCTATATAAAATAGCAAAACCTGATTGTAATGTCTCTGTCTTTGTATATGTACATATTTTTTTACTTTGTGTGAGGCAATAGGTAGGTTAAACAACTCTTGCCTATTTTCAGATGCCCGGTCCTGGAGGATCCCCAGAGTCTTCTCATGGTTACAACAGGAAGGACACCTCTCTGAAGAAGAGATGGCCAGAACATTTAACTGTGGGGTTGGGGCTGCCCTCGTGGTATCAAAGGATCAGACAGAGCAGATTCTGAGGGATATTCAGCAGCACAAGGAAGAAGCCTGGGTGATAGGCAGTGTGGTGGCATGTCCTGAAGGTAATCGCTCCTTATTTGTTTTTAGGTATATCATCTTAAATAGAGCAGAGCCCTGCCTCACAGGCTCTGTGCCCACCTTTTATTCCAGCCATTGCTATGGCAACTATCATTACACAGGTGTAATATGACAGCACCCACCCCAGTGATACCACGTACTCTTCACTTCCACATCAGGACTCTGACACTTCTGTGTAATGTTCACAGGTGCGCAACTACACCTCACAGGATCTCTTCCCAAAGTAATCTCCCTGCACACAAGACCTTGTGGCTGTGCATTGTAGTTCACCTCAATTCAAGGAATAGTGAGCAAGCACCCTAACAAGTACTGTGTATTAGTTGGGACTCTGCTAGAAGTGCTAGAACTTAGCACAGGGACACAAAATCCACTCAGATCAGCTAACAAAGATGTCAGAGCTTGTATACTTTGCCTGTATCTGCCTTCATTTCCTCTGTTGTGTAGGTTTCATTTTCAGGCAGGTTCTCCAAATACTAGAAAGGTAACATCCTTCAGCTCACATTACAATAAGAGAGACCTTCTCTTTCTCAATATCTTATAGAGAGACCTTCGCTTTCTCCAGTCTTTGAATTGACTTGCTGGGTCACATGGCTGCCCAAGGCCAGGAGGTTATGGCACTATCATGGATGATCTCACTGGGAAGATTTGGGAAGTAGGGGCAGACCAGTGGCAAGCAGTAATACATCCCCTATATGCTTCGATATAGTAATGTGCTCTATAGCTCTTAGCTAAAGTAGGTAATTACATACATTCACCTTTGGGAAGTTTTTAGGAATGAGTAATGTTACGTGATACAAACCTGTTATTCATTTTAGTCCTTGCATACCATATTTCCAGAATAAAATATGGTATTCTAAAGTTTTCATAAAATATTTTTCTTTCCATTATTCCTGTTAATTCACAATTGTTATTTATTTATTTATGGGTATGTTTTAAATGAAGGTTCCCCTCGTGTGAAAGTCAAGAATCTGATTGAAACCATACGAATAAATGGGTCAGTCTTAGAGAATGGCTCCCTGAAAAACTATTTCTCTGTCAAACCAAAAAAGGCAAGAGTGGCTGTCTTAATATCTGGAACAGGTAAGATGTGGCTTCCTCTGTACTGTAGAGCTATGGAAATGCTCTTCCCTTCCTCCCTGGCCCCAACCCCAACCCCTACCCCTCACCCACCTATGGACACACACACACAAAAAAACTCTTTCAGATTGTAAGGATACTCTCAGCAGAGTCTGAGGGGAGTGGGGAGGAATCATTCAGGAGTACTATCTTTTCAACATCCTTAATCTTTCCACTTTTCTTATGCATTTGAAACAACTCCCAAAGAAAGAAGTAGAGAAAGATGGTTAAAGAGAAACTAGAAAAGACAGAAAGGATGGAAATTCCAACTTTTTTTGTATCACAGCTTCATTGCTGGAAAGTCTTAAAATAGTTGAAGGTTTTTTATTATTAAGAATATTAAGAACAAGGAATTTATGTTTGGCCTTTTTGGATAGAGGGGTTTGGATAAGAGCATTGTATTCTTCAAGATGGATATATCATGATTTTTATTCTCCATTGTAAGTAACATTGCTGTGAACATTTTTGTAAATGTACAAGATGTCCTTAAGTGCGTATTTGATTATTTCCTTAGAATACATCCCCAGAAATATAATTGCTTTACAAAATGATTTTAAGGCTTCTATATCATTGAGGCCCGAGTTTATGGTGAAGCAAAGAAACTATGGTAAGGGCCATAGTGATTTATTCTTGAGAGGGTAAAGAGCATATTTCTCATCAACCAGTTTTAAAATCATGTTACATTATTTCTACTACAATGCTAGATCATAAGATACTATCTTATATATCCCTAGAACCAGGAGTACCTATGTTTTTCATTATCCCAAGAGAAATAGAATTTAAAAGTCTGACATATGTTGCCAGTCTTTTCCAAGACATTTATTCAGAAAGGTTGGCAATTCCCTATTCAAAATGGCACATATCTCTTTTTAATAAGTGTGAACTCACTTGTGTTTTTCTCCCTTTTCAGGATCGAACCTCCAAGCACTTATAGACAGTACTCAGGATCCAAATAGCTCTGCACATATTGTTGTTGTTATCTCCAACAAAGCTGCAGTGGCTGGGTTAGATAAAGCAGAAAGAGCTGGTATTCCCACCAAAGTAAGTTACTTGGGAAAGTATCTTAACTGCAGGCTGTATTTAAGCTCATAATCTGCCCTCACAGAGTCAGGGTCTGTGGAGCACTTGTTCTTTGGACTTCTGCATTTTGGGTGGGTGTTAGGCTTGCCTTTCTACTTTATCCTGTCCATTCCTTAATTATCTTCTATTGGTTGTGTCTTCACAAGGAAGTGAAAAATGATCTATGTAAAGTGTGAATTTTAATTTTTGATAATTCATTGGAAAACATTGTGCTTATCTTTTTCTATTACAGGTAATTAATCATAAATTATATAAAAATCGTGTAGAATTTGATAATGCAATTGACCAAGTCCTTGAAGAATTCTCCACAGACATAGTCTGTCTTGCAGGATTCATGAGAATTCTATCTGGCCCCTTTGTCAGAAAGTGGAATGGTAAGCAAAAATTGTTTGACATTTCGTTGGAAATCAACTGAAAATGAACTCAAGTGTCAAACAATCTCAGTAGTGAACTTGCCAAACAATCCCAGTAGTGAATATTTACTGTAATATTTTACTTAACTCAGGTCATAAATTAATTTCCTTTCCTTTAGTCCTAAGAATGACCCAATGATGGTTCATTAATCTGCTATCTATCCATTTTGTTTGGCTTGCTGTAATTAATCACTTCTTCTAATAAAAAGTAACTCAGTTTTGTTTCACATTACTGTAAAGGTAATATTTCATCTTCTGAATAAATGTTCAGAAGAACCTTTTTTACTTGTTTAGAAGCAAGAGGAAGTGAAATTCTCAAAATGCAGAATCCCTCCTCTCCTTAGGAAGTATACACCATTGCCAGAAGATGGGAAGGAAGGCATTGTTGCCAGAAAACACGTACCATCTTGTGTTATTGCCTTTTTCCCCAAAATCTTTGCATCCTGTTTTCATTTTTTGTGTACACATTTGGGGAATAAATGCATTTTCTCACCAAAGAGTTTGTTTCCTTAGGTGAATATAGGTAGAGCCTTGTGATGTAATATAAAACAGGCAATGCCTTTGGTAACATAAGGCACACAGAACTAGCTAATGCAGCTGGAGGACACATCACTTTGTGGTTAGAAGTCAAGCACACAGACATTATTCAAGAACCTCTTGCCTCTTTCTGATAGTATGTGCCAGTCACAACCTAAATTTTCTTCAGGAGCACTACCATCATCCAGCTTAGACGCCCCCCGCCCACCTTCCTGTCACCATGGCTACCTGTTCAGAGCCTGCCCAGCATGCCTTTGGCTGTGCAAGGCAGGCATGTGCTGCTACCAGGACTTCCTCCAGTAAGAACTGTATTTCTCTTTACCTCATCTCTATGTTTGGCAAAGAAAACAGCCATCCCAGAAATCCAACTTCTGTTTGACTTCTGATTCTAGACAGGAAAACATATTCCTTTGACAGAATACATGGGATTCTAAAATTCTTACCACTATGCTTTTTTAATTTCTAGGAAAAATGCTCAACGTCCACCCCTCCTTGCTCCCTTCTTTTAAGGGTTCAAATGCCCATGCGCAAGTCTTGGAAACTGGAGTCACAATTACTGGGTGCACTGTACACTTTGTAACTGTGAGTATGTCTTTTTCTACCAAAATAGTACTCGTTTTTAGATGTCAATTGCATTAGCTAGAAGTAATGTTCAAAACTTTTGCTTTCTTTCACAGGAAGACGTAGATGCTGGACAAATTATTTTACAAGAAGCTGTTCCCGTGAAGAGGGGTGACACTGTTACGACTCTGTCTGAGAGAGTGAAATTAGCAGAACATAAAATATTTCCTGCAGCCCTCCAGCTGGTGTCCAGTGGAACTGTACAGCTTGGAGAAAATGGCAAGATCTGTTGGGTCAAAGAGGAGTGAAGCCTCCTAGTTCAGGAAAGGAGCCAGTTTTGAAAGAATTATAGCTGTTTGTATGGTGGCTTTTTATCATGGGCTCAGCCCAAAAGAAAAATGGCTTAAAAAAAAATTTTAAAAAAGACTTCACCCTTAACTCCTTGGCCATTTTTTCATGAAGAGAAATTCATTAGTGTAACATATCGAAGACATACACATCTCCCATGATCTTTCAGGTTTTACCTGTTTAGAACCTTGTTCATAATCAAGCTAGTCATTCAGAACTCTTTTCTTTCTTTTTTTTTTTTTTTTTTATTCCTTTTTTTTTTTTTTTTTTTTTTTCCTTTTTGCCTTTTTTTTTACTGACCGGTAACAGGATTGCAACCCTCAGTGTGGCGCCCGTACCGGGGACCGGCAACGGGATCGCAACCCTCGGTGTTGTGCCTGCACCACGCTCAGCCAGTGAGCGGAACCGGTCTCCACATGGGATCCGAACCCTCGGCGGGAGCGCCACCGCGCTCCCAAGCGACGCACTCTCCAGTGCGCCACCGGGCCGGTCCAGAACTCTTTTCACTCTCAGCCAAACAGGACACCAAAACTCTCAGTCTTTCTTATCTTTTTTTTGACCAATATCACCTCCATTTTTATGTTGTATGTATTAGTCCATTTTGTGTTGCTTATAACAAAATACACGGAACTGGGTAATTATAAAGAAAAACGAAATTTATTGCTTACAGTTTCTGAGGCTGGGAAGTCCAAAGTCCATCTGGTGGTGGAAACAGTGACCCAGGGGTCTCACATTGCAAGATGGTGGAAGCAGAGAGAGAGAGAGACAGACTCTCCCCTTCTTTTAAAGCCCTCAGAACCACACCCCTGACCACCATCTTTAATCCATTCATTACTGCATGATCCTACAACCCAATCAGCTCTTCAAGGCCCCACCTTACAATTACCATAATAGGAGTTCCCACTCTGTTAAAAGTCACAGTGGGGGCCGGCCCGGTGGCTCACTGGAGAGTGCGCCACTTGGGAGCGCGGCGGCGCTCCCGCCAAGGGTGCGGATCCCATGTGGAGACCGGTTCCCACTCACTTGCTGAGCGCGGTGTGGGCACAACACCGAGGGTTGCGATCCCGTTGCCGGTCAGTAAAAAAGACAAAAAGGAAAAAAAAAAAAGTCACAGTGGGAGCTAAGTTTTAATACATAAAACTTGGGGGATACAATTCAAGCTTCAGGGAGTTTTGGGGAGACATAATCCACTACATTCCACCCTTGGCCCCCCAAAACTCATGTCCATAAAACTTGGGGGATACAATTCAAGCTTCAGGGAGTTTTGGGGAGACATAATTCAATCCACTACATTCCACCCTTGGCCCCCCAAAACTCATGTCTTTTTCACATGTAAATGCATTCATTTCATCCCCAAAGTCTTAACTTGTTTTAACTCAAAAGTCCAAAGTTAAAAGTCCCATCTGTGAAATCAATACAAGTTGTCCATTTCCAAGATACAATGGTGAGACAAACATAGGGTACATATTCCCATTCCAAAAGGGTGTAATAGGCCAAAAGAAAGGAGAAACAGGTCCCAAACAAGTCTGAAACCCAGCAGGATAGGCATTAAATCTTAAAGCTGGTGAATCTTGTAACTTGATTCAATGTTTGACCTCCTTTGCATGCTGTTGTGGGGGTTGAGTCCACAAGTCCTTAGGCAGCTCCACTCCTGTGGCTTTCCTGGTCTCAGGCTGATGATTTAGTTCTCGCATGCTGGTAGTTCCACAGATCTGGGGTCTCCATGGTGGTCCTGCTCTCATGGCTCCACTAGACATGGTTCTGATGGGGTTTCCCTGCTGCAACTCCAACCTCACATTTCTGCTGGGCATTACCCTAGTGAAGGCTGTCTGCAGTGACTCCACCCCTGTGACTTCTCTCTTTCTGGGTCCCCAGGCTTTTCTATACATCTTTTGAAATTGTGATGGAGGCTCCCAAGCCTCCACAGCTCTGGCATTCTGCGAGCCTGCAGACCTATCACCGTGTGGACGCTGCCAAGGCTTCCCACTTGTATTTTCCAAAGCTGCAGGTCCAGCCACATCTGGGGCCAATTTACCCACAGCTGGAGCAGCCAAAGCAGCTGGTGTGCTGGTGCTGGAAGCAGCTTCTGGAGGTGGCCCTGAGCAACAAACCCGTGTAGGGTGCCTCAGGCCTGTTCCCCAACACCACTCTGTCTCCCTAGGCCTTTGGCCCTGAAATGGAAGGGTTGGCCCCAGAGGCTTCTGCAATGCCTTCAGGACCTTTTCCCTCTTCTCTTGATAATCCTGTTATTTTGTGTTAATCTTATTAGTACCATTGAATTTAACTTCTGAAATTATTCTCTGCTTCTCTAGCACATGGCCAGGCTGTAAATTTTCCAAATCTTTACTGTCTCTTCCCTTTTAAATTCTGGCTTTATGTCATGCCTTTGTTGCTGCTACCATAACTCAGAGTAGGCGATTAGAAGTAGCCATGCAGCTTCCTTAAGCTTTGTTGCTTAGAAATTTCTTCTACCAAATACTCCAGTTCACAATTCCTAAGTTCTAACTTGCACAAAGTCCTAGGGTGTGGACACAATGCAGCCAAGTTCCTTTCCAGTTCACAGCAAGGGTGATCTTTGCCGAAGTTTCTGAAAAACTTCTTATTTCTATCTGAAACCTCCTTAGAATGGTCTTTATGATCCATATGTCTGTGAGCATTCTGGTCACCACCATTTAACCAGTCTCTAAAATTTTGCCTGGTTTTCTTCTCTTCAAGACTTTCACTAGCATCTAGGCTTTTTCTAGCCTGTTCCTCCAAATTCCCCAAACCTCTCCTCAACCCCCGGTTCCAAAGCCGCTTCCATATTTTCAATTATTTTTTTTTTTTTTTGTCTTTTTTTTTTTTTCGTGTCCAGCAACGGACCGCAACCCTCAGTGTCACGCCCGTACCGGACCGGGACCGGCAACCGGATCGCAACCCTCGGTGCTGCGCCCGCCCCTCGCTCAGCCAGTGAGCGGGAACCGGTCTGTATGTGGGATCCGAACGCTCGGCGGGAATGCCACCCCGCTCCCAAGCGGCGCACTGTAGCAGTGCGCCACCGGGCCGGCCCCTTCAATTATTTTTTATAAGCAACACCCCACTTCTGGTACCAATTTTCTGTATTAGTCCATTTTGTGTTGCTTATAACAAAATACACAGAACTGGGTAATTATAAAGAAAAACGAAATTTATTGTTCACAGTTTCTGAGGCTGGAAAGTCCAAAATCCATCTGGTGGTGGAAACAGTGACCCAGGGGTCTCACATTGCAAGATGGTGGAAGCAGAGAAAGCAAAGAGAGACAGACTCTCTCCTTCTTTTAAAGCCCTCAGAACCATACCCCTGACCACCATTTTTAATCCATTCATTATTGCACTATCCTACAACCCAATCTCCTCTTCAAGGCCCCACCTTACAATTACCATAATAGGAGTTCCCACCCTGTTAAAAGTCACAGTGGGAGCTAAGTTTCTAATACATAAAACTTGAGGGATACAATTCAAGCTTCAGGGCGTTTTTGGGGGGCATAATTCAACTGACTACATTATATGTTCTCTAATCTTTGATCATATGCTTTTGAAGGCATGGCTGCTGAATGTGTCTGAGTTACAGTGGGGCAAGGAAGTATGAGGAGATGCCCAAGAGTATAACTTGGGTCCCATTCATATTCCTACCCGCTCCCAGTGTGTAGAATTAGCCCAACCTCCTCCTGATCAGGGTCAAATGTATCTTCCCCAAGTATAATAAGTGAATGTCTCTCTTCCTCATATTATGTATCTGCTGATTTGAATTGAGACTTCCCTGATTATCCTGATCATAATTTGATGTCATAAAATTTCTGAGTAGCTCCTATTTCTGAGGGATAGTGCCCTTTGTACTTCAAAATATCATTAAACATTCCTCTAATTATTGACAGTTTCTGTAATACATGGATTTTAGTTTCACAGTCATTCTATGGTTTATAAGCATACTTTTATAAATCACTAGAGGTTTAACGAGAGAGTTTGGTGGCTTCTGTCTAGGCACAGTACTCATCTTCTGTTCATTTCCTCATAATTAAAGTAGGCAAATGCCTATCAGTTGTTTTGAAAACTAGATTTAATATATGTGAAGTATGTAGCACAGAGTAGGCACTCAGAGGTTAGTATTTATTTTATAGTTCCTGTCATGAAAGCTATTGTAATTCATTATTCAACAAATATATCTTAAGCATAAAATCGAGAGTGGTGATCAATGGAGCATTAGAATTGTGCTAGGTACTGTTCAGGAAGGATGAGGGCAAATGGAGGGTAATCTATCCAGACAAGGAAAGAGGTATAATGGGACTGCATGTATTTCCCACTCAAGCCAGTCATTTCCCATCTGGATATGCAGTTCTGGAAGTGGGCAGTCTAGGCTGACATACCGGATACATGTATAACCTTACTTGTAAACCACCATGCTTAGTACCACATTTCTCTGCTACCACAGCTGACTGAGTAAGGAATGGCCATGCAGCCCAAAGGCAGCCAACCGTCCTTAGACTGCTGAGCAGCCCTCAACATGGTGTGCCTTAAGACCCTTGCCTGCATGACAGAGGTGCACCTTACTGGAAAGGCAACTAAAGGCCATGTTCAAATCCTCCATTAGAATTGTTTTTTGTTTGTTTGTTTTTTAAGTTGACTGGTAAGGGGATCTTAACCCTTGACTTGGTGTTGTCAACACCATGCTCACCCAGTGAGCTAACTGGCCATCCCTATATGGGATCTGAACCCACAGCCTTGGTGTTATCAGCACCACACTCTCCTGAGTGAGCCACGGGCCGGCCCCTCCATTAGAGTTTAACAGCAGAGGTCTCTTAAGTAGTTACATACAGAAGATAGTAAACTGTAGCCTTAAGACAGAAAAGAGTAGATGGCCAAGAGTAGTGGAGCAGAGCTCCAACAGACCTGCTTTGCCAACAGAACTTAATGTCTGCCTCTGGTAGAGCTCCCCAGGCCTGGGCAGCCAGCCATCATTGCCTTTCCTCCCATTGACTATAGTCAGCAACCTCCATCAAATGGGAAGTCCAGGAACTATTCATCTGGATGGTTCACTCAACGTAATTAAGTGCCTATTATGTATATACTAAATA